TTCCTGTGCTCTTATCCATATTGCTGTAACACGCGTTCAAAATTGAAAAATTGATAATTATTTAATAAAATTGATTAAACTCTGCTTTATTTGTAAATTTTGTAATGAAATTATCTAAATTCTATTAATTGAATTATTCTATCATTTATTATCTTTAATATAATGAGAATATTGATTGATTGATATAAATTTCCGATGAGGAAATCCAATATAATAAAAAAAAAATCTGTTAATAGAAAACTAATGAAATTGTGTCTTGTCGATTAATTCCAGATGGTCAAGATGATGATCACCGTTGTCGTCGTGTACACGATATGCTGGTTGCCTCTAAATTTAATTTGGGTGAGTACAAACTGAAATTGATAAGCAGAGTCCTGCTGCAATGGAATGAATGAGATTAGATGATTGGCAATTGAGTGTTCACTTGGCGTGCAAATTGGCTTTGGACGTGTGAGCGCTTTATTGTTCGCAGCATGTGAAACGGGCAAATTATTTTTTAAGAGGATTACCAGAACGAACGATAATTTTCATCTCTTCACACTTTTCATATCAATATTTTCAGCTGATCGCCGATAACTACGAGGTGGACGAGAGATTGATGACCTACCTGTGGTTCTCGAGTCATTGGTTCGCCATGTCGCACACCTGCTACAATCCCATCATCTATTGCTACATGAACAGCAGATTCCGGACTTGCTTCTTCCAGGTGTTGAGTTCGGTTCCTTGCTTGAGACAGTGCTGCGCCACCCGCATCCTGCATCGACCCTCGACCAGCTTCCCTCTGACAAGTAAGTCTATGTATGTACGTTTCCTCTCACTCTTTCTCTATCTATTACTCAATACTATTACAATCAATCGACGATTGCTGAAGCTCTTCTGCACGAGTTTAGAAGGTGATTATTAGCGAATTGAATTTAGCTTTTCCGGCAGGCGTCGAAGGGGGGACGGACAGTACATTGCTTCATCGAAACAACACCTGTACAACCTACATCAGCATGAGGCGGAAGAATGGCAATAGACTCTCAACATCCGCATGCAGCGTTCCAGTCAGATCGGCTTCGATGATGAGGACTTCTCCGAACAACAACCATCAAGTGGTGAGAAGGTTCCGCTACCAAAACACCCCCACAACAACCGTAGCCGAAAACGCCATCTAACGGATTCCAACCGCATCAGTTACATAACTATATCCAAACACATTTAATTTACAAAAACTTGAGCTGCGTTTACATTACGTAATTCCGAAGCAAACGAATTTAAACGAAGCTTAAGTCATATTTTTCTAATTAGGAATCGCGGAGCAACCATAATTTTCCTCAACAACAACAACAAAAAAACTTGTAAATATTATTGTAATCTTCTTTTAATAAATATACATACTTAAATTACTTTTGATTGTTATCTAATTTTAATTACCCAATAAGAAATATTAACAATTATTTAAATAATTCACAAACTACCTGAAATTCATCAAAAACTGAAGAGAAACTAAAGAAAGTAAAAATAAAGGTAAGAAATAATTTCGTTTTTTTTTAGCTTTAGTTTTATGTAATTCACAATCATAATTGTTTATTAACTTAATTTCTCTCTTTGCATTTGAGCAGTATGAAGAAACGGGATTAAAAAATAATTAAATAAAGTTTTAACCGTTTGTTAATTAACTTCGAATTAACAGTCAGATGGTAATTGTTAATTATGAAATCAACAATTTCCAAGGTTACATGTTATTCTTATGTCTTAGAAACGCATCAGTTACAACGCATAATTTGATAACTATATCCAAACACATTTAATTTACAAAAACTTGAGCTGCGTTTACATTACGTAATTCCGAAGCAAACGAATTTAAACGAAGCTTAAGTCATATTTTTCTAATTAGGAATCGTGGAGCAACCATAATTTTTTCTCAACAACAACAACAAAAAAACTTGTAAATATTATTGTAATCTTCTTTTAATAAATATACATACTTAAATTTCTTTTGATGTTATCTAATTATTAATTACCCAATAAGAAATATTAACAATTAGTTAAATATAATTTAATCACAAACCTGAAAATCATTCAAAAACTGAAGAGAACACTAAAGAAAGTAAAAATAAAGGTAAGCAATAATTTTGTTTTTTTTTAGCTTTATTTTTATGTAATTCACAATCATAATTATTTATTAACTTAATTTCTCTCTTTGCATTGATTATTAACAAATAATTAAAAAAAATGTAATGAAACATTGTAAATTTGTAAATTTTTATAAAAAAAAAATCTGAAAAAAAAGTATATATAATTTTTGTTTATTAAAAGATAATTGAATACACTCAAATTAACGTCTAATTACATTTAGTTCTTTTTGTATTCATTTTGCTCCGAGTATTCCATGATCTGGTTTCCTTCTTTTCACTGAGCAGTATGAAGAAACGGGATTAAAAAATAATTAAATACGTTTCTTAATTAACTTCGAATTAACAGTCAGGTGGTAATTGCTAATTATGAAATCAACAATCTCCAAGGTTACATGTTATTCTTATGTCTTAGAAACGCATGACATCTTTAAAAAAAAGTTATCATAGGTGGAAATAGATGTAAATTTTGTAGACATTGCGTTTTCAAGCGTTAATTTATTATTGCTGCATATTTGAACGAACATTGCAGTCAAGCGGAGGAAACCACAGTAATGTATTAATACACGTTTAGTTTCCCAAGTATCCAAGTTTGGTATGCGTCTTTTGGGTCCATTCTGCCTATTATAGTTTATGAGAAATTCATTAAAATGTGTTTTTCGACCTATCATTTTATTTTTTTATAGTTTATAATATAAAATTTACATAAATTAAACAATGCTAGATTATGTAAGAATTATAGAATTATTATAAATCAATGTTAGTTATGTAATAAATATAAAATGTCATTAAACGTAATTCGAGTTTGTCAATAATCAATCATTTGTGGCATTTGTAGCTTATGTAATACTAACTATGATTAATTGGTACAATTCTAGTTGCATTATTAATGATCAGAAACTTTGTTGCATTTCGATGTTCTTTATAATGTGAATTTAGAAAAAAACTTGATTATAATTATTAGCGTCTAAAGTTTTCGAAAATGTGAAAAGTTTTCGTAATATTTAAAGGAATTACGTAATGAAATTTTGTTGAAGGACAATGAACGACGGTCGTTCGTGCAAAATGAAAAGCGTATGTCGGAAAAGTAGTTTTAAGTAAATTCTAGTGGATTTTAAACTGCGGTTTTCCGTCCGCTGTTTACGTAATATCGACTCGAAGTTATTTCATATCCTAAAATAATCCCGCTTAATGAGAGTCGGGCCCGCAAGTGTATTTACCGTCGGTCGACCGGGGAATACCCTTGTAATACGCGGGTTTCGGGTGGAAGCGCCTGGGCTCAGATGCGCCATAAATCTGGTCCGATCGACGTCGACGTCGCGACGACCAAAACGACAGTCTCTCCCTCTACATCCATCTCTCTTGCACTCGCGCAAATCGTATACCAATTTTCATACAAACTAATTCCAGGGGATCCATTTTTATGGGCGAAAACCGCAGCAACAGCAGCAACGGATTATCATTTCCTGCGTGCAATTTCCCGACCGCATCTACAACGTCCACTCTCCTAATTACAAGTTGCCATCGAGCCGCAAGTAATAAACACGCATTTCCAGTGTAAACTCGGAAAGAAACTCGCGTCATAAAGAAAAGAGAGAAGAGAAAAAAATCCAATTCGTTTGATCATCTTTTACTTTTATACCTTCGTAAAGAAACACAGACACTTCTTCGTGTGTTTGTGTCTATGCTTGTTACACGCGGGTCAAATAAAGTGAAAATTGCATTAGGGAAATTGGATTCGGCTTGTCGGAGACATGAACAAATTATCGCGAAACTTTCCTTTGAAATGCAAAAAAAAAGAACAAACTCGATTGTTAAACCGCAAAAGAACTGCATTTTACTTATAATTTTCTCCGTTTATATTGAATCAATTATATATTAATCTATTAATTATCAATGGATTTGCGTATTTGCTTTAAAGATAAACAAACTATATAATCCATTAAAGGTAATTAGTTTACTTAAGCTAATGAATCTCTAATTAATAGTTTCATAGAATCCACAGCAGAAACTAGTTATTTCCGTTTGAACTTAGTTTCAGGTAAACCAACAACAAACCCATAAAAGCGAGTAATTTAAAATGTTATTACTCCGGCACCGCACAAAACGCCAGAAGCTAAAGTAATTACATATTTTTTTTAAATGAATTTGTTAATTTCGTCGGAAAAACGTTACGGTTTCCCATATTTTTATCGGCTTTGTGATTTTTTATAGCATATTTCATGACTAAATTATTTGCAGCATGATTTTTTTTTTTCATTATAAATATTCCAACAATAATTATTTCCTTGACAATCGATAATATTTGCTTCTCTATTTTTTCCTCATGAAAATGTGATGAAACGCAGCGTCGAAATTAGTTTTTGTTCTCGTCGATTCGTTTGTAATAACGCGTGTATACTGCGAATGTATAATAAACTTTTAACAGAATTACGGACAAAATGTGCGCAGAGCAATAGTTTTCAGTCTGCTGGACGTTCGTTAATCCTGAAACCCATGAACGTAAATCCCGTTGGCTGTGATTCAGTATGCTAATCGTTGATAGGCTTTTCCGCTGGATTTTCGTGTAAGATATATCACCTAATTGGAATTTCATAATATATTATTTAATTATTTAAATTATATATAAAAAAAAACTTTAACAATTTACTACAGGAAAATGGTAAAAGATACAAATCTAACAATATACTCGTAGTGAAGCCTAAATATTTAGCTTTAATTTAAGTATTAATACTTTTAATTGGCATGAGTGGTTACAGAGTAATATTAAAAAAGAAACGTGAAAACATTGAATTTTTGGTGCTTTTCGAAAAAATGATTTTTTTCAAATTAAACAATAAATTACAGAATAATACTGAAAGGTACAAATTTAACAATATACTCGTTGTAAAGCCTAAATATTTAGCTTTAATTTAAGTATTAATGTTTTTAATTGTCATGAGTGGTTATAGAGTAATATTAAAATAAAAATGTAAAAAAATTGAATTTTTTGTGTTTTTCAAGAAAATGATTTTTTTCAAATTAAACAATAGATTACAGGATAATACTGAAAAGTACAAATCTAACAATATACTCGTTGTTAAACCTAAAAATCTAACTTTAATTTAAGTATTAATGTTTTTAATTGTCATTAGTGGTTATAGAGTAATATTAAAAAACGTGAAAACATTGAATTTTTGGTGCTTTTCGAGAAAATGATTTTTTTCAAATTAAACAATAAATTACAGGATAATACTGAAAGTACAAATCTAACAATATTAAAGCCTAAAAATCTAACTTTAATTTAAGTATTAATGCTTTTAATTGACATGAGTGGTTATAGAGTAATATTAAAAAAAACGTGAAAACATTGAATTTTTGGTAATTTTCGAGAAAATGTTTTTTTTAAATTAAACAATAAATTATAGGATAATACTAAAAAGTACAAATCTAACAATATACTCGTTTTAAAGCCTAAAATCTAACTTTAATTTAAGTATTAATGTATTTAATTGACATAAGTGGTTATAGAGTAATATTAAAAAAACGTGAAAACATTGAATTTTTGGTGCTTTTCGAGAAAATGATTTTTTTCAAATTAAACAATAAATTACAGGATAATACTGAAAAGTACAAATTTAAGAATATACTCGTTGTAAAGCCTAAAAATTTAACTTTAATTTAAGTATTAATGCTTTTAATTGACATGAGCAGTTATAAAGTAATATTAAAAAACGTGAAAACATTGAATTTTTGGTACTTTTCGAGAAAATGTTTTTTTTTTTTCAAATTAAACAATAAATTACAGGATAATACTGAAAAGTACAAATCTAACAATATACTCGTTGTGAAGCCTACAAATTTAACTTTAATATAAGTATTAATGTTTTTAATTGACATGAGTGGTTATATATTAAAAAAAAACGTGAAAACATTGAATTTTTTGTGTTTTTCAAGAAAATGATTTTTCAAATTAAACAATAAATTACAGGATAATACTGAAAAGTACAAATCTAACAATATATTAGTACTGAAGCCTAAATATTTAGCTTTAATTTGAGTATTAATTCTTGTAAATGACATGAGTGGTTGTAAAATAATGTTACAAAATGTAAAAAACAAATTTTCTAATTTTTCAATTTTTACTATTTATTACATAATAAATCTTTCAAAATAAAATTTATCTTTAATATGAATATTTATTCATCAAATTCTCATTTTTATTTGTTGAGAAAAGTTAAAAACAAATATGAAGACACTTAACATACAAAAAATAATAATTTGAAAATTGTGTTTTCCTTCAATTATCTTTTCGGTGTGCGTTTATTAATTTACAACACGCCATTTCGCTCGCACACTATAAACTACTATAGTGTTTTCAGAGATAATAGTGGCATGTTTATGTTGAGTTAAAGGGTTCATAAGTAGTCCGACGTTGTAATCACCAACGAATAATTGATCAGAACCGTAAAATAACGAATTCCCTCTGCTCTATTCGAACATACATGAATTATTATAATTTGCTATACGTATTTTCTATTATAATCCACCTGCAGGATAATAATTTAATTATTTATACTGTACAAAAAAAAATGATGAAGTCATTAATTTTACATATTTAAATTCATTACTTATTTGTTTAAAGATTATTTTTAATTATCAATTTATTTCCATAATCAATTTAGATAATGAAAGGAATTTAAAACAAGTTTAATTTAAATGTGTAAATTAAATAAGTGTAAGTAAATAATCATAGATTTATATGTGAGTTTTGTATACATGAATCATGGAATACCATCACAAAGTTCACAAGGGTCATTCCGCAGTTAACATCTTAAGATAGTCCGCTATTTACGGTGCAAAGAAACAATTTAATTTACGAAAATAAATATAGATGTCTTGTTGCTCAACGTTTCCACTGCGACTGGAGTCTACTGTTGCTTGCATTAAACCTTATCACCGATTCCGTTATCACAAATAAAACAAAAATACACGCATCGGGTTTGTTATCTCCTATAGAGAAACAAGTTCACACAGTGCTGGTATGTACACAATTTCGTTTACGACAATATTTTTCACGAATCAATAGGTCATCATCACATCGTTCGTGAATCGGCATGTGAAGTGCAGACAATTCTTTCCAGTAAATTCATTTTTTTTTGTGAGAGAAGAAGAAGGCACAGTCCATCGACAACAGCTGATCCCATTTCATCGCATGCCGACGGATAGAGAGGATTCATATAAAGACTGTGCTGGCTTATTGTCGGGGGGTGAAATAATGGAGGGCGAACGGACCGATATGCTGCCGAGTGCAATAACCTTCATCGATAATAGGGTGAGTTTATCACTGCCTAATTGACTCGATTGTTTCCGTTTCCGTTTTAAATTTCTTTTATTCATTTGAAGTTGTTACAGAGTTTGTGTTATTGTTTTTGTGGCTTTTTGTGAGCTTAAGCTCTTTGAGCCATTACATACTCGATTGCTTATACGGGTAGTTTATTTATAACTAAGGTTATTCATATGAGGTATTCTTAGCACTTAGAGTATGTACTTAGCAAACATAACTAAAGCTCCTTTAGCAACCAAAACACATTGCTAGCATATATATAAGGTGTCGTTAGCAACTGGAAAAGCGACCCTATCAACCAGTAGAAGTATTTAGCAATAGTAAGGCGTCCTTAGCAACCATAAGACGTCCGTAGCAACCCTAACGCGTCCTTAGCAACTATAAGACATCCATCACAACTACAATTCATAACTATAACTATACACGGCGTCCTTAGCAAACCATAAAACGTCCTTAACAACCATAACGCGTCCTTAGCAACTATAAGACATCCATCACAACTACAATTCATAACTAGAACTATACACGGCGTCCTTAGCAAACCATAAAACGTTCTTAACAACCATAACGCGTCCTTAGCAACTATAAGACATCCATCACAACAGCAATTCATAACTAGAATTATACACGGCGTCCTGAGCAACCATAAAACTAAGACTTAGCAACTATAAAACGTCCTTAGCAACCATAAGACGTCCGTAGCAACCATAACGCGTCCTTAGCAACTGTAAGACATCCATCACAACTGCAATTCATAACTAGAATTATACACGGCGTCCTTAGCAACCATAAAACTAAGACTTAGCAACTATAAAACGTCCTTAGCAACCATAAGACGTCCGTAGCAACCATAACGCGTCCTTAGCAACTACAAGACATCCATCACAACAACAATTCATAACTAGAACTATACACGGCGTCCTTAGCAACCATAAAACGTCCTTAACAACCATAACTAAGACTTAGCAACTATAAGGCGTCCTTAGCAACCATAAGACGTCCTTAACAACCATAACGCGTCCTTAGCAACTACAATACATCCATCACAACTACAATTCATAACTAGAACTATACACGGCGTCCTTAGCAACCATAAAACGTCCTTAATAACCATAACTAAGACTTAGCAACTATAAGGCGTCCTTAGCAACCATAAGACGCCCGTAGCAACCATAACGCGTCTTTAGCAACTATAAGACATCCATCACAACTACAATATATATGAGACGCCATTAGTACATAGAGCAAAACTGCCCATAAGAGCTGGACATAATAATTATACTTAACATAACTGATATTCATTTGAATTGACACATCAAGAGTATCGTTTCACATTAATTGCATAATGAACATGTAATTAGGTAATTGACAATGCAATTAGTCTTTTACGGGAGTCTATTCAACAATATTTAAAGTGAGTATTGTTCGGAACGCTCATTAATAACGAATTACGATGTTATTAAGCGCTATAACAATTGGGTTTTGTTGAATTGGCGTAATAACCAAATTATCCGTGCTGTCAATACATTTATAGCATTAAATTAATGAGTTTTTCTTGTTGGTAATTTATCAAAGTTATTATAATAAATATAGATTTAATTTGATAATCGTTTTAAACAAATATTGATTTATATTATCAACTTGATGGAAGTGTCCCGCATTTAAGTTAAATTAAAGTTGTTATATAAGAATATGAAGGAACAAAGGCGACGGATCGTTAATCCAGGCGGCTGTTTGAGGAACGTCAAAAACTTTTCACTCAACCTGATAAAACGTCTGGATCTTAATACTAAAAAAAAAACGCCACCGCTTTTTACTCGATAGTGATGATGCTGATACAACAAACTGCTTTTCGCTGAAGACATAGATAATGGGAAAGTTTCACACACTATTTCAGCTGATTCCAGTAGAAATATAATCACTACCAAAAGTGTAATTAAATATTTTAAGTGTCATTATTTGTGACGTGAGATATGACAATCTGTTACAAATATGTATGTCTCATATTGCTGATAGTGTGGATACAACATTATAATAGTTAATAAAAGTATACATTACTGTTTATAAAGAACTGATGATGAAATTCCAAACGTTCCTAAATATTTGTAATTTTTTTTTGTCGATTAGATAATTAACGGTAAGATCAATTATGTAATGGCCGATACGTCGTGGATGCGTTCTATATTCGGTCGAGAAACTTATTAGCGACGGCGATGGTGATGGCGGCGGCGAGTTACGTCATTGCGCTAATGGGATTTCTTGGCCTTAACACCACCCACTCGACCACCCGACCAACCCTCCCTTGCCCGTGTGTCATCAATCAGTAATTATGCGTCACCTCAGTCGTCCGCAACAAAATTCGCATTGCGATTCGCAAAATTAATTATTCAGCAACAATTGCATTTCCTGAAGGAGACCGAAGGGAAGTTTGTGTATACAAGTGCTAATTACGCGTAGGTGCGACGCAATCTTGGCATAAAGAGGCTGGATCTCAAGGAAGGCACGTAATAAACTTTCCAAATTTAATATAGTTCGCGTTTGCGAGGGATGGAACTAAAGCCGGAGTAGATAAAGGGCGTCTTCGGGCTCGATATTACCTTTCATTGTCGCGTGAGGGTGGTTTCGTTTTCAAAACGCATTTGCAATCGAAGGAATTTACCGTTCCGTTAAGTAATATCTCTCGAAGAAACGCGGAATTGCAGCAATTGAATTATAGCTATTTAACTCTTTGTCCATTAAGATCTAATGCAGACACGAGGGTAGCAAATCTTCATATGGAAACCAATACGTGTTGCAGAATCGTAAGAACATCTCGTGAGCAGCATCTATCTTCCTTAAGCCAACATCTTTTTTTTTTGTTTTACCGGCCACTATTTCTTCCGAACCTCATGATTTAATCATTACAACTGTTCACTATTACCAGTTGTGTCTCGAGGATATAAAAAAATTGCTTTTACCTAAGAATTTAATAGTAATGTAATAAATTTTACTTTGTTCGAGAAATTCTGATTTTTTTTTAAGACAATAAGAACAATATTTTAGAAAATAAATTCATAATGTGTAATGTATATTATCGATATTTGTACACATTTATTTTAAGTATTTGTCGTAACTGCATGTAGTTATATAAATATATACAGCAGATAGTGTTACATCTGCGAAGGTTGTGTTACCGAAATGGATTCGTATGTTTTGCCCGAACGCATTTGCGGTCTGCTTACGTGAGGTGTTGCTACCAAGAATTGCTTCGACGTGCTGATATTAATGAGACGCGTTACGTTATTGCGACAGTCGATCCAAATTGATATCGAGTTGATGGATAGCACGAGGGCAGTAGTGAGAAGAAGCAGCTCTCACCTCTGGTTCGAGCAGATATCTAGTTTTAAGGACGTAATCGGTCAGGTACTCTGTTCCATCTGTAATACTAACACATTTTGAATGCAATTTATCATTGTTGTTTTTTATTTTAATTCAGCTTTGTTACACGAGCCAGAGATGTCACAAAATACCGGAAGCTTTGGTGAAGTTGTACGGAAGCAGAGTGCACAGCTTGGATTTGAGTTACAACGAGCTTGTCAGTCTGAAGGGACTCGAAAGGTTCTCTTTCCTCAGGGAACTTGTCCTCGACAACAATCATCTTGCAGATTCCATAGTGTTTCCCTATTTACCTCACCTGCACACGCTCTCACTCAACAAAAACCAGGTATGTTTCATTCAGTTTTTCAATTTAATCCATTAAAAAAAATAATGAATCATTTGAAACTTTAAAAAATTTGTAAATCAATACAAAATTAAAATCCTTTCAGAAGCTTAATAATTTATAAGTTAAAATATTGGCAATGAAAAGATATTTCCTTACACTTCCGACTTCCTTCTCGGGTCAATCGTAATTGGATTCTGCTCTTCCTTTCAGAATACTATTTGAATCTCTTCCACCCTTTCTGATTTCGTTTTCTCGACTTCTCTTTCATACCTTATTCACGTTTAACCACTGCGAACTCCGTAAGTGGCTTACCGATATTTTACGAGAATTTCTTTCCATTTACACAACTTTTTTTTCACCTTTTACTACAGTCATATTTTTAAAGCTCTTTTCCAGTTTTACATCACTATTTCATACATTTCTATTAGGATTTATAAGAAAAATATAAATTTCATAACATCTTTTTAATATTTTCAGAATAAATTGACATAGATAAACACAACTAAACAAGTATATTTTACGAGAATTCTTTCCATTTACACAACTTTTTTTCACCTTTTACTACACTCATATTTTTTAAGTTCTTTTCCAGTTTTACATCACTTTTTCATACATTTCTATCAGGTTTTATAAGAAAAATATAAATTTCATAACATTTTTTTAATATTTTCAGAATAAATTGACATAGATAAATACAACTAAACAAGTATATTTATATCAGTTCTTTCTATGTTTATCTTGACTTTAATTTCATGGTTGCGTAAAAGTTCAATGTTTATTTGAACAGTTCAAATAACGTATACAAATTTAACATTTATTTTGTATATATAATGTTTGGAATAATTGCATACTGCAATCCTAATGTACATCAAACTTTGTTAAACTGAACTTTAGGTAAACTTTGTGTTAATGGATTTGAGAATACCCAAACACAAATTGCTTTCAATGGCTGTAACTGAAGTGATTGTCCTGCGACGAGGCAGATGTCATTGCAATGAAAAAAAAAAGGACTATAACAGGACAATAAATACGTTCCATCCAGTCTCGATCAATTTGGATCTCAATGACGGACAATTTAAACTAAATTCAAAGACATAGATAAACACAACTAAACAAGTATATTTATATCAGTTCTTCTCAAGTTCTTTCTATGTTTATCTTGACTCTAATTTCATGGTTGAGTAAAAGTTCAATGTTTATTTGAACAGTTCAAATAACGTATACAAATTTATAATTTTTTTTGTATACATAATGTTTTGAATCATTGTATACTGTAATCCCAATGTACATCAAACTTTGTTAAACTGAACTTTAGGTAAACTTTGTGTTAATGGATTTGAGAATACCCAAACACAAATTGCTTTCAATGGACTGTAACTGAAGTGATTGTCCTGCGACGAGGCAGATGTCATTGCAATGAAAAAAAAAAGGACTATAACAGGACAATAAATACGTTCCATCTAGTTTCGATCAATTTGGATGTCATTGACGGACAGTTTAAACTAAATTCAATGACATAGATAAACACAACTAAACAAGTATATTTATATCAGTTCTTTCTATGTTTATCTTGACTCTAATTTCATGGTTGAGTAAAAGTTCAATGTTTATTTGAACAGTTCAAATAACGCATACAAATTTATCATTTTTTTTTGTATATATAATGTTTTGAATAATTGCATACTGCAATCCCAATGTACATCAAACTTTGTTAAACTGAACTTTAGGTAAACTTTGTGTTAATGGATTT